GGGTCAGATTGCACAGTTTTTATGCAACATACTGAGCACTTGAGTGTGGTATATCTGAACATACAGGTCTAGGGTTGAACAAGCCATGATGAGCTTTGACCACAGGTGCCCTGTCACTCTCAGACACAAGGTCATTTCTCAGGACCCTAAACTCTCCCCACACAAACGCAGATGCACAGTCAATCAAAACAGGGTATGTGCACAGGCTGGCTCATTTAGCGAGCCTCAAGCTAAATGCCAACTACAGTGGAGGTCAACTCCAACTGTCCCAGAATGAATAACTGACCTGACTAACTGCTGAATCATGGCTATAGGAACATACAGTAAACTAACGTGCAAGGATGTTAACAGAGGGACAAAAACCACATCTACAAATGCAGACACACATGAACAACTCACTCTGCAGGACAGTGACATTAAGCAGCAGCTGTGGGGTACTGGGCTGCCGTAATGTGGAGGAACAGAGGTGCTCATTCATCTTAGTGCTAACAGATAAAAGATCTGTTGCCTCTTGCATATTTTTGTCCACAGGACTCAATACTCGTCTCTCCTTCGGTGTCTGGAAATGCACTTTTATCCCACTTGCCACCAGAGACTTGTCAGATGATGTTTTACACACACATATACAAATACACGTAACCTGGCTGAACTTGCACTGTGGAAAGTTATACTGTACAATATATGCAATTATGATTTAGTGGATAAAATGCTATTTTGGGTCATGCTCATTTTTTCCTCACAGACATACACAAAGACACAAATTTAATCAAAACATTACATCAGTTGTATAAAGTCACATCGAATGAGTGTGTAACGAAGTACATCCTGACATAATCTGTTACCACAGGGACTAACTATACATTCTCACAACCACACACACAAACTACTGTAAATACTGAAAGCAGTGCTCACTGAACTGGCTTTTGCATGCTGACTAACATGAGATGTCATCACCTATTCTACAAACAAGCTAAACTATTTTTTGACAAAATAAACCATAGCACATTATCTGATACAGTCAAAGTTCTATAAACTAGGAGCTTCCGACAGTGGGAAGAACAGCAAAGACACCGTGGAGCACTGGATCCAGAAAAGGTGGACCATGATGAAAAGATCACAAAGCCACAGAAAGGCAAGGACAGTGTTAAAAAAAATCTAATTGAGACGCACTGGATTTTGCAGTGATGTGGTGCCAATGATAACCTTAACAGTGAAACATGTCACCACAACACAAACAATTAATAAAAGGATGAATATTTTAGTCTTGTCACACTTTTACAGATAGTTGTTTGTTCCCCTTACCCAGTCAATGTTATTTATAGATCCATCCAGCTGCCATCATGCAGAGGATGGGCTGAACCATGGAAAGGGTGGACGCCATGGGAAAGAAATTTTTGTGTGTAAGGATGCCATCACGCACACACACGCACGCACACGCATGCACGCGCGCTGTGTTTTCATTCCTTGTGGGGACTTTACATTGGCTTACATTCATTTCCTGTAGACTTATCCTAACCTTAACCATAACCACTACTTGCCTAACACCTAACCCTGACCCTAATACCTAACCTTAACCTTAAACCATGTTGCCACCCTAAAAGTCAGTGATTTCCTTGTGGGGACTAGCTTCTGGTCCCCACAAGGATAGCCGAGTCCCCACAGTGTGAGTATGTTAACAGGTT